TGAAGACACCTTGGTGATCTCTGATGATGACACTCCCACGGCTGCTCGTGATTCTGTTGATCAGTTTTTTGCTTGTGGGTTTGATAGTGAAAATTTGGGTCAAGTTTCTGATGAAGTGCCCCTTGCCTCATTTTCCATGCCTGCTCCTGTGATATCTTCTTTATACATATGTCCTATGTATATTATATAGTCCCCCAAATGTTTAAGCTTTAAAGTATAAAATCTTGAGCACTTGATTACTCCTCTCACTCGGTCCTTTTCCTGAAAAGGAAAAAACATACGGGACTCGGAGGTGCGATTATAGATGAAGACTGCTTAACCCGTTTGAATTTCTATCAGAATAGTTGTAACCCTAGACCGAAAATTTATAATTTTCCACGTGCCTTGCAGGTTGTGATTCATCATTTAGTATGGGTTAGCTTTTTGCCTATCATCTAAAATCGTTAGTAAAATTTTTATAATTCAAGAATAAAATGTTAAAATGAGGATATCTGACCGGGGATACTTATTTTCCTTAGAAATAGTATCTCTTCAAATGAACGGCATTCCAATGTGAAGGTAATATCTTGCCATCCATTGTTTTCGGCTCGTATGCTCCTTTTCCTGCGATACCGTGAATCTTATAAGGTCCTTCCCAAGTTGGACTTAACTTTCCCGCACTAACCGCTCTCGTGGATTGAAAAACCTTCTTGAGTACAAAGTCCCCAATCTTGAAGTATCTTAGGTGAGCTTTCCGATTATAATATTGTTCCATGACTTGTTTTTGTGCTGCCATTCTTATTAATGTGGCTTCCCTTTTTTCTTCAAGTAAATCTAGGTTTATTCGCATTTCGTTTTCATTGTATTCCTCAGTCGCTTGTGTATACCTCATGCTTGGCTCCCCTATCTCAACTGGGATCAGTGTTTCAGCTCTGTATACCAGTAAAAACGATGTTTCACCCGTACTTGTTTTTGCTGTTGTGCGGTATACCCATAAAACACCAGGTAGCAACTCTGGCCAATTGCCTTTGGATTCTTCCAATCGTTTCTTCAAATTGTTGATAATGACTTTATTCATCGATTTAGCTTGTCCATTACCCACTGGATGGTAAGGCGTTGAGGTAATCCTTTTGATCTGCCAACTTTGAAAAAATTCCGTGATTTGTGCGCCTATAAATTGCGGGCCGTTATCACATACGATTTTCTTTGGTATGCCGAATCGACATATAATATTTCGCCAAATGAAATCTCTGACCTCTTTTTCACGTACCTGTTTAAAAGCACCTGCTTCTACCTATTTAGTAAAGTAATCAGTGAGTACTCGCAAAAATTTTACCTTGCCTTTTGCTTGTGGTAGTGGACCCACGATATCCATCCCCCACTTCATAAAAGGCCACGGTGCAATGACCGGATGTAACAACTCTGCAGGTCTATGCATATTGTTATCGTATCTTTGGCACTTATCCACAAAATTTTCCGCTTCTTCCATTTTGGGCCAATAATAGCCGGCTCTAATCATGGTTTTTACTAAAGATCTTCCTCCTGCGTGATCTCCACAATGCCCCTCGTGTATTTCTATCTTCACATACTCTGTTTGAGAAGGCCCGAGGCATCTTGCTAAGGGACCACCGAACATTTTACGATAAAAATTGCCTTGCTTTAAACAGTACCGAGCTGCCTTTTTACGAAGCGCGTGAGCCTTTTTCTTATCTTCATGGACGGTTCCATACTGCAAAAAAGTGACAATCTCGTTCCTCCAATCCTAGGTTAAGTTATTGAAATTTACCTCGTTCTTGTCATGATCAAGTATTGAATGAAACAAATGAATTACAGAAGCATTTTCGGTACTCGTCACGTCTGCCGCAGATGCGAGATTAGCTAGGGCGTCTGCCTCGACATTTTCCTCTCTTGGTATCTGCACAACTTTCCCGGTTTGGAATTGCCTAACTAGATCACATGCCTTTTCCAGGTATTGCTGCATTCGTATAGTTGTGGCGTTTGCCTGAGTCTTTATGTTTTCAAAGCTATTTTTGTTTCTGGTTTTTCAGATGTGCCATAGAGTATTAAGCAATGACGACGTGAGGAGGTAAGTCATGAGTATAGTAACTCTTGGATAGCAAAAAGAGCCTGTGTATCCCTTGATGAGGATTATCCATTGTAAAAGTGACAGAATCCACAAGGGGCAAGAGACAGATTTTTCCAGCATTGCGTAGCATTTATACAATTGATCCAAATATGATAGATAGTTTCTAGCTCTAATTGGCAGAATTGACATAGGGGCTAATAGTAATGCCTAGTCTATGGAGATAGGATCGAGTTGGCAATTTATTATGAGCACACAACCAAAGAAAATATTTAATTTTTGGGGGAACTGGTAGGCGCCAAAGCCATCCATAACTGTTTGTTAGGTGTAAAGCATTTGTTGGAGATTTATGACAAGAATGCACTGTAAATTTGCCATTAATGTTGGGGCCCCAAACTAGTCTATCATGATGTATTGGATATTGTGGGAGGTAGAACTGGTCTATTAATTGCATTATAGTGGGTGAGAGTTGTAGTGATAGTTGGCTACAAGCAGTTGGATTGGAATTTAGAGTTTGAGAAACTGTAGCCACTGACTCATCTAGTGTTAAAGGCCCTTGAATTTGATGGCGCGGGATTAATGCGGAGCTAACCAAGGGCCACTAAAAAAATTAACGTTGGAGCCCGTTGATAAGCGCCAAATAAGGCCTTGTTGGCATGAAGACCGACCCATAAGAAGATGTTTCCAACTTCTGGAAAGCTGAGATGAATGTTTGACATTGGAGGAAATATATTTGGATATTGGTAGAGATGCACGTAAAGTTGAGGGATTGTGGAACAATCGCCAAGCTGTACTAGCAAGGAGAACTTGGTTCTTTTCTTTTAATCTTTGGATACCTAGTCCCCCTTCCACTCTTGATGTTGTAACTTGTTCCCAACGTACCATATGTAATTTTCTTTTTGAGGGGTAGTTTCCCAGAGAAAATTGCATTGATAACATTCTAGCTTGTGCAAGAGCCCTACTGGTAGACATGTGATTTACATGACATGATTTGGAATAGAGTTTAAAGTAGCCTTAATAAGGGTAATCCTTCATGCCATGGCGAGAAAATTAGTTTTCCAACCCGCTAGTCTAGTTTTAAAATTGTCAATTAGGAATTGAAAATCTCTTTTAATTGGTTTGGAGTTGAGTATTGGAAATCCCAAGTATTTTCCAAATTTGTGTCCTCCATGAATGTTAAAAGAAGTAGTGACAAAATGTTTGTCTTCCGGTGTGCAGTATTTGAAAAAGAAGACTTTGGACTTCTGAAAATTTATTTTTTGGCCGGATAATGTAGTAAAGTGATTTATGTAATCAATGATAGAATGACATGTGCGTGTATTGATCCTTATAGCAAAAATAATGTCATCAGCAAAAGAATTAGTGGGAGATGGGTGGAGCTTTCTTATTCAAGTAAATTGGATTCCAAGACTGATAATCCGCTGCTAGATTTATGCTTTGTGATAACATTTTCATGCACAGAGATATGGTGATAGGGATCACCTTGCCTAATACCTCGCGATGGTTTGAAGCTTGTGTCAGACTACCGTTAAAAAGAATAGATGTGGTGGTAGTTGTTACACAAGACATGATTAATTCAGTCAAAAGTGATGGAAAGTTGAAGTGCGTCAAAGTTTCACGTATAAAACTACATTCTAATCAATCAAATGCCTTTTCTAGATCAATTTTAAGCAGCATTTCGAAGCATTTTGACTTAGAGGTTCTAAAATGGTGCAAAATTTCTTGCACTATTAGGGCATTATCCGAATCTCTTCTATTTTGCTGAAAAGCTAACTGAGAGGTATGGATGAGCTTATTAAGTAAAGGCTTGACGCGATTCACTATAATTTGGTAATGAGTTTATAGATAGTATTACAAAGGCTAATAGGGCGGAACTGAGCTGGGGAGGTGGGGCTCTGAGTTTTGGGAGTCAGACAAATGAATGTCTCATTAATTTATTCTGGAATCTTGTTATTGTGAAAAATATTTTTGCAAAACTTAATTACTGAAGGGCCCACTTATGTCCAAATCTTTTGAAAAAATAATAGGTGTAATCTATCTGGTCCAGGAGATTTTACTGGCTTTAAAGATTTGAGTGATATAAGAATTTCGGATTCTTGTAAAGGGTGCATTAAAGAGTCACACTCATTTTGTTTTAGAGAAAAAAGAGGGGAAGTGGTGAATAATCTGGGAAAGACTACTTTAGTGGTATACAAATTTTCATAAAAGGATATGAAATTGCTTTTTATTTTATTAGTATCAAAAATCCATTCCCCTGAGGCATCCTTTATGGACATAATACGATTCCCGCGTATTCTTTTAAGAGTGGTTAAGTGGAAGAACTTTGTATTAGCGTCTCGGAGCCACGAAATTCGTGATTTTAGTTTTCAAATTTCTTCCTCAAGCTTGAGAATATGATTAAACTTATGGATGAGCTCTTTTTCGAGATTTTGTAAAAAATGACTAGTTGGGTAATGTGTGGATGCCTGTAAGCCAGCAATGCATACAAGCAATTGTTTCTTTTGGACGAAAATATTACCAAAGTAGCATGATTCTATTCTTGAACAGATGTGCTAAAGTCTCTTATGGCATCTACAACTTCATTATTATCATGCCAGTTATCATTAACAATAGTAGTAAAATCAGGGTGTGATAACCAAATGGTATCAAATCTAAAAATAGTACTTCTAACTATCTAATGAAAGTTGTAACGGGCAATGATCGGAGTGAGTACGCGACATGTGTTTAATTAGGTATAGATTCAACCATTCATAATTTGCTACCACTCGATGTAATCTTTCTAAAATCATATTGCACTCCTACTTCTTTTATTTGTCCAAGTATAGCGGCTCCCTCGAAAACCTAGATCAATTAATTTGCAGATTTAAACACTCAAGCAGCAGGTCAGAACAGAAATTATTTAAAGAGCAACCACCAAAATTTTTTGAAGCAGTAATAATATCATTAAAATCTCCACTTAATAGCCAAGGACCCGAATAATTATATGCAATACATTTTAAGTTTTGCCAGAGTATTTTTTCTGACTAAGATAAGGGCTTGCATAGAGAGCAAAAAATAAAAAGTTTTGAGGTTTAGGGTATACCTGCACCATGCAATGAACTTCCTGATTAGTGACTGCAATTTCATCCACTTTGAATGTAGCTGCATTCCAAAGTACAACAATTCGCCCAGCTTGGCTTTGTGTAGGAGCTTGAGAGTAGTTTGTAAAACCAAAGTCCTCCGTTAAGGTTTTCATGGTCAGCTATATATGTTTCAAGGAGGACAAGAAGTGCTGGCTTGTAGTAGTTAAGCATATTCCTACACTTGTGTCGAAAGTCGGGGGATTGGGCACCTCGACAATTTCAAATGACGAAGTTCATCGAACGACTATTGGTTGGTGGTTGGTTCTGGAGATTTTGTTGAGTCTCCAACTATTGTTCCACTTCCGTGGCTTCCTGGTTAGAGGTTGAAGTGTTGGAGTGATTATGACAGCAAACTTCCCCGCCTCTGGTTGACAGTTGGTCGAAGTTCGATGGAGCATTGAATCATTTCTGGTGGGCATGTTAGAAGTAGTTTTTTTTGTACTGCTCTTTGAGGATGGAGATATGACATCGCTTTAGCCATATTAGTACCATGCGTGTTTCCCTCATTTCCTCCATTACTGCAGCTATTTCCTGAGGTATAAGGATTTCATTTTCGTTGGGACTGGGAAGGTTGTTTGTCATTTAACTGGAGGATGGAGTTAGGTGTTTGAATGGACTCATCGGAGAGGTGGGTGGAGTTGGTGCACGCATGAAGAGTTCCTGATGAATCCATGGGATTGGGGAGTGGTATGGTGGGTAAAAGAGAAAATTGTCATAGTTCTGGGGTTGTTGGTACGTGGGATATGTCTGTGGGGCATTCCGCTAGTGGGTTTGCATGAGTGGAGGTTGGCTCGAGCCCCATTATGGTGATTGGGACATCGCCCACTAGTATTGCCCGTAAAGCTCTATGGCTAGTTTCATTCCCTCTGTCACTATCTGTGCAGTGTCCAGAGGGTTCTGAATTTTGATGATCACTTCTTTGGTTGTTAACCATCATGGTGAATGTAAGCACATGGTTCTGGAGGCCCAGTTCTAGCCAGGATTATGGAGGAGTGTATGGGTAGGGTGCTTGGAATATGTATATTATAGGGTAGGTTTGGGGTGGTGGTATGTGGTTCTGCATGTTGTGAGGGAATAGGTTATGAAGATTGAGAGGGCGATAAGGAAGTAGAGAAGGTCTGTGGTTGTGAGTGCGAAGAGAGGGTGATGCTTGGTTGTAACGTTGCATTATTTTGTGGATTAAGGGGAATTGTGATTGATATTGGGCTGGTTAGTTGAGGTGAGTCGAGTAGGCACTGAACTTATATTTGTAGGCTCAATAGTGGTGGTTGGAGGCGGTGAACCAACTTAAAGGACTTGGTGTTCTAGATTGGTGGGCTTTTCACGTGGGCTTGAGTGTAAAGAAAATTGTGGAACTTTTAATTCTTGTAGCATTGGAGTGCTATGTAATTTGGGGTGAGATAGTTGGGTTAGGTTATCATTGCATCTAGGGGATGATGGGGCTATCAGTAAACTTGTGAAAATATTTGTGAACTTGCTCGTGAATGAACGAGTGGGGAGGTGGGGATGACGTGGACTCACTTAGGGTGAGAGTAGTGTTATTAAAAGCACTATTCATTGAGGAAACGGGGGAAGTTAGGGGATGCATGTGGTGTTGCACTTTGTGGGCTACAGAGGAGGATGGTATCATCTCTATATGTGTACTGGATAAGGCTTGTTTATCTTGTGCCTTGGGGGATTATTGTAATGTTGAGCCTGCAGCTTGCATATCAAAATCCAAATCTAATTTATTAGCAAGATCTAAATTGGAATCTAGATTTGTTAGATGATTAAAGGATTTAGAGTTAATGAAACTCTAGGGGTCAAAAGTGGAAATACCTGTATCGACTAAATTAGGTTTATGATAGTTCAAGTCGGCGGACATACCTGTGGGTCCCTTTGAGTGCGCAGCCATACCTGCTTCCATTGTCTGTTGGCCATTCTTTGAAGGAATTTGCATGGGTTAGCTTAAATTTGAAATTTGATTGACCAATCGTTGCTTCCCCTATCTACACAGGAAAACTACAGTTTTCCATTCCGATTCAGTGATGGCTGGTACTGGTGGAGAGCTTAATGTAGAGGTATTATTTGATAGTTGTACTGATAATATTTGTGGTAGAGGGGTGTTTGATGGACAAAGGTGCATGTTCTTGTAGTATGACCAAGACTGCCACGATGGAGACAAAGCATATTAAGACCCTCATATAGAATTTGCTATCTATGTGTACCGATGAACACATGGGATTTAAGTGGTTGTTCAATAGGGACCTCTGTACAAATACGCGCATATCTACCTCAAGTGGTAGAGGAGGTACAACTATCTACTTTAAGTAGTTTGCCTATTTTGCTACCCACCTTGCTTAGTATGTCAAGATCATAGAATTCAATGGGCAACTCGAGAAGACGACTCCATATGACAGAATAGGTTACCTGAGTATTAGATGCAATAAACTTTGGTTCCCAATGGCAAATAAAAAAGTGATTTAATACAAACCATGGTCCCTCGTGGAGGGATTTTGCCATGTTTTCTTCCTTTGATAAGGAAAAAATCATTACGTAAATCAATAAGGGATAAAGATTCAATAGGTCTCCATAAACTCATAACCTTTTGTGGTAGAGTTAAATGATTAATTTTCCTTCCAAAATCTTTAACTATAAGGGAGAATTGCCAAGGAGAATAGAGTCATGATTTATCTAGTGCAGTTAAGGGGATGAAATTATCCAAAGTTGATTCGGTTGAAATTTCATCTGTCATATCTAGTTGGCAGTGGTTTAGTTGAACTGAGAGGTTTGGCAATTGGTCAGATATTAATGTTTGCATAAAGGAGGGTCCTAAGGAAGTTACTAGAGAGGGGTCTACGATCATTGTAGTATTAGGTGGATCGTCTTACGGAGGGGAAGATGGAATGTGCATGATTGGAACAACAAGGAAGAAGACAAGACACGAAAAGTGTGGGAGAAAGCTCTCTCTAACCCATAACTCTTATTTATTATCTCTTTAACACATGTGTCAATTAGCATTCACTCAAGTAAAAGAAAGAAAGAAAAAAATGTTGAACTTTGTTGCCTTATATTGTAGCATCATTATAAACTTTTTTTCTTTCTTGGTAACTCGTCATGATAAACTTTACAAGTTCCTTCTTATTTTTCCTTTATATTCCTTTACTTTGACAAATAATAATCTTGGAAAGAGACGCAAAGAATTGCTTCTAATTCATATTATAGGATTAAGGGGTAAATTTGCCATAATTTACCACTCCGAGGTAAGATCTAAATCACATGGGCAAATTGCATTAATTTAAGTTTTAAACCCTAAATATTAATTTAAGAAATTAAAGGAAAAGGGAAAGGAAAACAGAGACAGACAGAAAAACTCCTTGAATATTGACATCGAGTGAGACAAAGCATTTAAGGAAGATATCGTTGTTATTCTCTTCCTTCTCACTAGACTTCTAGAGTGAGAAAACACCATTTTCCAACAGCACTCACCACAGTCCCCTTATCAATTGTCGCGCCCCCTTTTTTTCTTTTATGGCGGGAAAGTCCGGGTTTCGATATTTATGGGGGAACAACTCGTTTCCTTTTGGGAATTGGGTATTTAAAAAGTCGCCACCTAACGGATTATGGTACGTTAGGGCACCTAGAGCGATTAACTCATGTAACTAGTTTGCATTACCAGAGATTAAGGTAAGGGCTCAAAATAACCTTGAGGGGAAGGTGTTAGGCACCCCTCGCGGTCCACAACGGTGGATCCCGGCCGAACTTAAACTATGTGAATTAGTCATTTAACAAGCAAACAATCTCAACACATATTCGGAAATAAAGGCATGTTTTGACATTCTAAATACATGTATGATTCAGGTAATGGAAGCAAGGGAGAGGTTTGAACAACTTGCATATGTATGAAGAAAAGGAAGTTTATAAAATTTAAACACATAGGAATTGGGAAAGGGAAGTCCTAGGTTGATTAGCCTACAGGATCATACTCATGCAATGCCCGGTGATCACTCCTCAATGAGAGGCTACACATGACATTAGCGCGCAGTCATCATATCCTTTTACTACCCATTACCCTCCCCTTAGTGGTTATAAGCGAGTTTAATTAACGACCTCTAAGTGTGCTGCTACCCGTCCCTTTCTTATGGTCGTGGAGGAATTTAGGACCACTAAATCTGGACAGTTCTAGACAACCTAAGGTTTTTAAAAGGTAAAAATCTAGGCGGCAGACAAATAACATGTAGGACAAGCAAATAGGGACAAACAGTTAGAAGGCTCACATTTACCTCCGCATGTATGTAGACAATCAAACAGCACGTCTAAAGTACAGATTTTCAAAAGAAGTTCAGAAACCCTAAGAACATGATATCTAGATGGATATCACAAAAACAGAACATGTAGTGTTTGTTTTTTAGGGAAGTGGTAGGATCCTAACCAGTTTGCCTACTAGTTTTACAGCTTGTTAAACCTGGATAATTTCACATATAAACAGAACTGGTTGCACAACTATTTAACGTCATAAAGCTTGCCTAGGTGCGTATATACAATCACAATTATGGGAAGACATTTTGAAGTCCTTTATTCTATAAGCATGCTTTCTAGTGATATTAATTAACACGGCGTTGAAGGCTATTAAAGAAACGAGTAGGATAATTAATAAGACTAATTCAAGGCTTACATGTGTGAGTTAAAATTAAATTGATTTTAGATCCTATAGGCATGATTTCTAATTAAAACTGATTTTAGATCCTATAGGCATGATTTCTATAAGTAAAGCTGATTTAAAATCATATAGGCATGATTTCCAAAGAGACAAATTTGAATATATACCGTAATGAAAAATGAACCTTAATTATTTTATTCCCTATAGGCATGGTGTCTAATCATGTAAAGTAAAGTAAACAGAACTTATTTCAACCAAAGTAGAACCTACAGGCAGGTTGTCTAACACAACACATGTAAACCAAAATAAACCATATAGGCATGTTATCTACTCAGCGCATGTAAACCAAAATAAACCCTATAGGCATGATATCTATCCAACTTTACCCAACAGTATTCAAATATCCTCCCTTTTTACCAGTCACCCTAACATTTGTTTACAATTAATTATTACAGACCAGTGATTGAATAAATTACATAAATATAAATATACATTAAGCTATAAGGAGCCTTAAGTAGGCCCAAAGTAATTTCTGGTGTACCAAGCCTTCAGTAGTCTCAAATGCCCAAAGTTTCATGGCCAATTTCATGTCTAGGTGTGTCAGAGTTCCCTAAGTACCTCAAGGATCCCGGGCAGTGCTCACACCTAGACTTTCCTCAAATAAGGACGGATTTATGTGCAATGTGGAAGTGCCAGCCCTGATATGCTAGAGTTCAGAGAGATCTCAGGTACCTCTAAGCAATACACATACCAGAGGGGCAAAACTTAACCTAAGAATAAGTGAGAGTGCTTGACATGATTTGAAAGAGTTTGGTAAACAGTATAAAGAAAGGTCTCAGGAGTGAAAAGATTTTTTGAAAATCAGTACTAATTTGTGGTAAAGCAGCAGTTAGAAAAGCATAGGAAATAATTTGCAATCAGAACACAAGTCACAGAACAAACATCTTTAGAAAACACTTTGGCAAACAGTTTCCACACAAGGAAAGAGATTGGAGACACATAGAATACACCTTGGTAGAGCACATAAACAACAGGATGCATAGAGTTCTCAAAGGGGTTCTACAGAACTAATAGGTTAGATATAATGTAGGTCATTGAAACATAAAGCAAAGATCACAACAGAAATATGTTGAGGACACATAAACAACATAATTAGAGTTGCACTGGAGAGACTAGATAACTTAGTAGGAGTAAGGCAAAACAGGCAAGAACTGGAATGGACATGCCAGGCAAGCATTAACAAGTGTAGACATGCTAATCATACACTTATAAAACAAAGTTTAGGCATGCTAGATAAACAGTAGTTAGGCAAACAAGCTAGTTACATGTGGAAAAAGACAGTGTAAGACATGTTAACTAGATAGCAAACATGCAAGTAAAGTGGAGACATGCTAATTACATATTTGAATAAGGAAGTATTTGGCATGCTAGGCGAGTAGTAATCAGAAGCAAGAATGAACTCAGGTCTGATGAACTAAGGTAGTAAATAAATACATAGGTTTAGATTCTTAAAAATTTAATCAGAAAGCATACCAGTTAGAGAAAGAAAACATAAGATGTAAGACAGGTGTTGTGCAATTTCCAGCCTTGGCTTGCAACCGGCTAGACTAACAAAGATCACAAGTAGCAGAGAGAGCAGAGAGATTTTTAGAGTGTAAAAAGTAGTGGCTGATGAACTAATGTTCGTGTCCAGAAGTGAGGAGTAAAGGAGAGTATAATAGTAGTTTAGGAGTGGAGCAGAATAAGGTAAAGAAATCATAATTCAGCAATTATGGAAATTACAAAATCAATCACACACAAAATTAGCATAGTCTTCCTTCAATTAAGGACAACTACCCAACGGTTAAAGGATAGGAGTCAATTAAGGAAAGAAAATCAAATCAGACCTAAGTAAAGAGGTAAATAAATAGAAGTTTAATTAAGAAAATAATCGTGAAGAATCAGTAACATTATAGACAATAAGGTAATAAGAATAATTAGACTCGTAAACAAAGGAATAAATCAAGAATCAGCTCATAATTTTCAACCAAGCAAATTAGTAAATCGAAATTCAAAATAATATTGGTTTAAAGAGAGGGAAAATATCAGTTTTCCATAAATAGATGAGTAGGCTGAACAAAACTTCACAAACACACATAAATTAGCCAAGAGATCGACTCAAAAATTCTAGTAGAGATGAACTAGGGTAAAACACAGAATTAGGGCCAGTAAACGGAAAGATTCAGAATTGAAGCAAAAATATAAGAAATTAGGGCTTTAGCATAAATCAACTAGGGTCCAAACAATATTAACATGAATCAATCAGTAACACTTAAGAATCATGATTAAACACTCAAAAATCGGAAAGTCTTTAAAAGAGTGAGTTCAGTAAACCCTAGTTTTTCAGGAAAAACGGAGAATCGATTAAAAACCATAAGACTTTCATGAAACATGTGAAATAGACTCGATTCATCTCAGATCTGGACAGATCTGAGAAGATCAAAGGAT